AATTACTTGCATTGAAGACACAATTTGTTAGTTTTAAAGAGAGCCAAGTACTAGCAAGGAAATTAGTAGGTATATTCCGATTTTCTTTTAATAATTCAGTTTTGCATCGAAGTAGCTTGCTATATGTATATTTTGCTAATAAAAAGTGACTAGTAAGTGTGGAATATGTTTCCAATTATCTTTTTTTAACTTGAAAACAAACATTACTTTCTTCCAAATTTTACAATCTTTACGCCCAAACATGCACTAACAAAAACTTATTTTTCTAGAAAACATTTTCCTTCCTGTTGGCCATTATAAGTTAGTCTTTTGAGCTCCTTAATTATCAAATAACACCTATTTGATCAATTTTTTTCTCTCTTCATCTAGTAACTTGAAAGAAGAAGAAAAATGGTTGGATTTGGTGGTGAGATGGAGATTACACGTCGATGTGCCAATCATCATCCTTCTGTTTGGGGAGACCATTTTCTTGCCTATGCTAATCTCTTGGTAATTAATTACTTTATGTTGTGAATATTCTTCATGATTTTTAACAAATCATATTATAAACAAATATTGACATTTACTTGTGTAGGGAACCAATGAATGGGAAGAGAAGGAACATGAAGACCAAAAAAGGAGGAGTGAGAAAAATGCTAGTGATGGCTCCTTCCAAATCTTTGCAAAAACTTGAACTTATAAACACAATCCAATTGCTTGGAGTGGCATACCATTTTGAACATTATATTGAGCAATCATTGAGTGAAATCTTTAATGATTATGAAGAATGGATTGGTGAATTTGGTGAAAGTGACCTTCATGCTGTTGCTCTAAGCTTTCGATTACTTAGGCAACAAGGTTATTATGTCTCATCGGGTACGTACCCCCCCCCCCCCAAACATATATTAACTAGACATTATGCGATGAGTTTTTAAGTTGTTGGTGAAAAAATATTTGCATAATCAGGTCACTTATATGTTTTTGAGCAGATGCTTTTAGGAAATTCATTAACGAGCAAGGAAATTACAAGGAAGCACTGACCAGCAACGTACAAGGATTATTAAGCTTGTACGAGGCAGCGCAATTCAGAGTACATGATGAAGAAATTCTGGATGAAGCAATTAATTTCACCACTACTCATTTGAAGCTAATTTTGCCTAATTTGAGCGATCCCCTTGCGACTCAAGTCAGTAACGCACTGAAATTTCCAATCAACAATATTATAGTGAGGGTAGGAACGAGGAAATACATATCATTTTACCAAGAAGATGAATCACACAATGAAATGTTACTAAATTTTGCTAAATTGGACTTCAACATCTTACAAAGGCTGCACAAAAAGGAGCTATGTGATATCACAAGGTAATTGACAAGTTACACATTCACTATTTTAATCATATCAACCAATTTAACTTATATAGTTTCCTGTATAATTAAATCTTGCAAATATAATTTCCTCTTTACATTTTAGGTGGTGGAAAGAATCAGAAATCGCGCAGGCACTACCTTTTGCAAGAGATAGAGTGGTTGAATTATACTTTTGGAGTTTAGGTGTATACTTTGTGCCTCAATATAGTGTTGCAAGGAAAATATTAACCAAAGTGTTGTGCTTCTGTTCTATTATGGATGACACTTACGATACCTATGGTACACTTGATGAACTTACTCTCCTCACAACGGCAATTGAAAGGTTTAAATTCTTTTCTCACGTCAATCAATAGCTTATTACAACACTTTTAAAAATAATTAGCTAGGTGGAGAAAAAAAAATGAACCATTAATTCACTACTATAAGCAATTTTGCAAATATATATGTGTAGGTGGGACATTGATGCTTCAGAACAATTACCGCCATATATGAAACTCTCCTACCGTGCTCTTCTACAAGTTTACAATGAAACAGAGAGAGAATTGGAAAATCTTGGAAATAAGACATTCCGAGTCAAATATTCCATAAATGAGGTAATTAAGAATTATTACTGATTGATGAAAATATAGTCAGAGAGGGAGTCGGAATTTAAAGTTTGTTACTTTTTTCAGATGAAAAAGTTGTTGAAGGCTTACTTCCAAGAGGCCAAATGGTATCATGCGAAGGATGTGCCAACAATGGAACAGTATATAAAGAATGGAATTCCATCTAGTACTTACCTATTGCTTGCCACTACTTCTTGGTTAGGCATGGGAGATGCAGCAACTAAGGACGCGTTTGATTGGATATCGAATGAACCTTCGAGTCAAATAGCTTCGTGTATCATTGCAAGATTACTGAATGATCTCGTAACACATGAGGTATTATATTGTACGCGTAAATAATAACTCAAGGATTAATAGGAAGCTAAGTGTGACATACAAATTGAATATGAAGTAATATTTCTTATTATTTTAACTTGTTTGTCTAATTATATTATGGATACAGATAGAGGTGGAAAGAGGAGATGTAGCTTCGGGTATCGAATGTTACATGAATGAGCATGGTGCAACAACAGAAGAAGCTTACATGGAGATAAGGAAAATAATAGAGATTAATTGGAAGGATTTGAATAGAGGATGTCTAAAACCTACAACAGTACCAAGAGTTTTGCTTATGCCAGTGCTCAATCTTACGAGGGTGGCAGAGTTTTTTTATAAAGATGAGGATGCTTATACTTTTTCGAAAAATAACTTGAAAGATGTCATCTCTATGGTGCTAATTGATCCTATTGAAGCATGAGAGAACCTTAAATGAAAGAACTAGTACTGCATGAACAACATCTAACACATTTTGATGTTGCTTCTTTCTTGTGCTGAGTTCTAGCTAGCTAGAGTTGTCTATGTTTTATTTATTTACTTTGTTATGGTTGTCAATTGATATATGGATTGCTTTGATACAGTGAATACAGACTACAATATATATAACATCACCTAGCATTATATATAGATTAGTCTTCCTCTTTTTATCAGCTGCTGCTTTTTCATTCAATTTTCCGTTCTCTTTTGCAATGCCTTCTTGCTCTGAATGCTTGTCATCATCCCCTTCAGCATTCTGCTGGTCACTGCTCTCAATGGAATCAGCATCTTGTATTTCTTCGGACTGAGCTGACGCTTTTGCAGCAGACTTGGAATTGCTCATCTTTTTCAACTGGAAAAAAAAGGGGCACGTGGGGCAAAATATTCTCAGCTGAAACAAACTTGCAGCAACTTCAAAGAAGATGGTTTATAATCTTTCATAAGTTTTTACATCCGTCAGTCCCAATTAATTTTTGAATCCCTTTAACCGTAACCATTTCTTTAATCTTTTATGAAGTAAGAAAATCATAATCATTTCAATTTCCACAAGCTTCATAAAAAGATGAAATGTTTGCTTGGCATGATTATAAGATCTGCATACAAACACTTGGGAGGGTACCCTTTATTATAAGATTCATAAGAAATATAAGTTTAAAAAGATACCTCATCAACCATAACGGAGCAGGTAGAATACACTATGTATCCACCTGATTTTGAGTTGGCATCGACCATGTCAATTGCTGCAAGTATCAGTTCCTGCAAATGAAAATTGACCATGAAACAGGTTTCTCAGAGGTGAGTAAGCGACATCAATATGTGATACATGGATTATAAGATAAGCATAAACATTATATAAGACACATCAGGATAAGATGTTCATTCAATACAACCGATTTTTGAGAACCAACAAAAAAACTGAAGAAATTTCACTAGAGAAAGCAAACAGATTAGCAGCACAAGTTAACATAAATTACTTTGAGTAAGAATGATGTACAATTGTACATGAGCGCATAGTAAAATAGAACAGAAGCACCCAGTATATTTGGTTCACTGCATTAGAAATTAGCAGTGCAAGAAATGGAAAAACTAAGAATTCTTTTTAAGGAAATGGAGATAATGGATATTGACACCAGGGGAGAAAAATGTTTTTAAAATTCATTCACCCATAGGTATCTAGAAACTATGGATGCATTATGGAGAAAATGGATTACTTCACAAAAATAGAACACGGTGTTTCACATAAACTACTTTGGGTAAGAACAATGAACATGAGCGCATAGTAAAATAGAACGAAAGCACCCAGTATATTTTGGTTCACTGCATTAGAAATAAGCAGTGCAAGAAATGTAAAAACAAAGATATTTTTCAAGGAAATGAAGATAATGGATACTAACACCAGGGGAGAAAAATGTATTGAAAAATCATTCAACCATACGTATTCCAGAAATTATGGATGAATTATGGAGAAAATGGATTTCTTCACAAAAATACAACATGATCGACTGTAAATGAATACATACCACTATTTTTCATCAGTGCATCAACATAAGTTGTTTTGCCTCCAGGAGCAGCACTGCACCATTTACAAGTTTTCCCACTTTAGAAGAACAGAAGTTACCAAAAAAAATCCACTTTTCTGCTTACTGAGCTAATAACTAAAAAGTTCACAGAAATTGTTTTAGCTTCCTCTCACAAGAAAGATACTAAAAATAGATTAGTTAAACCTAAGACTGACAAAGCTATATCCAACGCAAAGATGCTGATTTAAAGAAAGTAGAAATTACAACTGAGAGGAACAGAAGATGCTTTATTTCTCTCAATTAGTTTTTTCCTATACTATCTAAATATGCACCGTACAACTCTTTCAGCGATCAAGCTTTTTAATTTCTTACCGATACATTTAAGATTATGAAAGGGCAATAAATCAAAAAAGATCTGGATTAAAAACATATTGGATGGTGAAAAATTCAATGATAGACAATTGAAGCAAACATTTGTTAGACAAAATTATTTACTTACGCCATATCAACAATACGTTCATTCTCTTGAGGGGCAAGGGCCATTACAGGCAGAAATGAACTCGCACTTTGGAGCTGTAAGCAAGTTATTTATTAGAAATAAGCATTACAGTTGCGTACTAAGAGCAAAGACATCATTTAAAGTGTAATGTCAGGATACCATATAGTGACCAGCCATATACTCAGGAGTTGCACCAACTGGAAATTGAGAATCATATACAACTAGTCCAACCTACAAAATAAACAATGCATAAGCTGAAATAAGTAATGATACATATAAAAATAAGAAATAACAAATCCAAATTGATACTTAAATAATGGGTCAACCCAAACAAAACACAGAGGCTTAGTGGATCCAAATTGACCATTTGCTTAGTGGATCCAAATTGACACCTCTGTTAAGAAGAACACCTGCTAAATCCCGTCTGCGAGTCTGAAATCCGGTTGACGCAATAACTATGAGTCAACCATTAGAGCAACAAAAGGTAAAGATAGAAAAGAGGCAGAGAAACCATGACCTTTAAAGTGTTTGTCCACATAGAAATTGGCCGGGGCTTTTCAAATGCTTCAATAAGTTCAATCAACTCAACAGGGGGAACAGCTGCAGTAAGGTCACATATCAAGAAATCCAGATTTAAATGAAAGTGCAACTTGAAAAGGCAAAAGGTGCAGATTCTAGACTACTTTGACTTAGAATTACCTCCACTAACGATTCAATGAGAAAATCATTGTATGAACCCAAGTCCCTTTTAAGTTGATCAACATAATCCTTACCTGTCACATCTTCTTGCCTCAATGACTTGAAATTTGAAAGCACCCGAACAACTGCATTTATTTTATTATATGTGAATGAGAAACTTACTTCCTCCGAAGAAAGATAATTCAGAAAGAGAAGATGAAGGAAAAGAAACTCACTCTCTTTTATCCTCCTTTGGAGATTAGAGAGATCCGGGGGTCTATTTGTTTCTTCTTCGAGCTCCTAAAGTTAAAATGACATATTTAGTGTAACGACCCGTTTGATCGTTTTGAGTACTAAAGCTTTTTATTTCATAAGACTCTTTCGATAGATTCTAAATGAGTATTTGGACTATTCGTAACTACAATATGGAATTAGTGGGGTAGTTTTAATAATTAATTTAGTTGGTGGTTAAAGAAGATAACATTAAAAGTAGTTAGATTTAATATTTATTTGTTCATAATTAGTTACCCTAGATAATTAAAAAGACTAAACGAGAGAAACACCCTGCGGCATCAACCAGTAGCGACTGCCATCCAGGTAATGCTTCA